TGTTGACTCCAACGAATGATGAATCCCCAAGATCTTCAGGCTGAATGGTGGATTGTTCACTCACAGACAGTTGTAGCAGCCCAGAATCCCGATCCACAGAAGAGTGTCTCTTTTCCCAAGATGTCCATAAATATACTGGAAGCAGGCCACACCCCTAGGGAAACTCCCTTTCAGTGGATTGGCTACTCAGAACATATACATCTGTTCCCATCATTGGAACAACCCACATCACAGTTGCTTAAACCACACAGAATTGTGGTCCAGCCAAGTTGACACACAGCTCCAAATGTCACAGTCCACCCCTTGTCAACTTGGCAGTTGTACACATCTTCTTAACCATGTATAATCTCTAAATAAGGACAATTATAAAGTCATATTTGTGCCTAACCTGATATGCTAACATGCGTACAACTGAAATGCATTAACCTTATTTACATTTCACAGTTCATAACAGAAGGAAACAAAAATATTTGATGCACTTATACAATGAGGAAATATACAATCACAGTCCTCTGTAACTGGTCACGTGGTTGTAGCTGATATTCAGAACTACCTTTTTCACCACCCGTTTCCTATTTCCCTTGCCCTCAGCAAGCACCTCAGCTGGTTGTGGTTCTTTGCCTGGTGGGTAACCCAAACCTTCATTCCTGAAGGATCTGGGTTGTTAGTAGTCATATCATAATTGGGTTTCTCTGATTTTCCATTGACTTTAATCACAGAGCATGGTAGTACTAAGAGACATCCTAAAGAATCTCCTGTATTCCAGACATATTCTTCTTTACCTCCATTATATAATGTCAATCCAATTTCCCCTTGGTAATCGGGATCTATCACACTAGATAGTATAGTAATGCCCTTCTTTGTCTGTTGATCCAGAGGCATGAGGAAGCCAAAATGGCCAGGGCCATTTCCAGTTCAATGCAGTCAGTATTGTGTTTCCAGGTGGGAGTGTTCCTTCCTTTGGAACTAAGATCTCCAGACCTGCAGAGCATAGGGTAGCAGGGACAGGAAGCAAAAATTTTTTGAGTGGATCATTAGGGTTAATAGTGAGTGGTATCACTTTCATTTCTACCCCTTGGTTCCTGGACCTGTGGATCCTGGCTATTGGAGAAACAGAACCATATATTTAACACTGGTTTAGAGCATATACAGCCTCCTGGAGAACATTACCCCAACCCTTCAAAGTATTGCCACCTAGCTGGTGCCATAATTGTGTTTTCAGTAGGCCATTCCATCGTTCTATCAAGACAACTGCTTCAGGATGATGGGGAACATGGCAAGACTAGTGAATTCCATGAGCATAGGCCCATTGCTACACTTCATTTGCTGTGAAGTGAGTCCCTTGATCTGAAGCAATGCTGTGTAGGATACCATGATGGGGGATAAGGCATCCTGTAAGTCCACGGATGGTAGTTTTGGCAGAAGCATTATATGCAGGGAAGGCGAATCGATATCCAGAATAAGTATCTTTTCCAGTAAGAACAAAACACTGTCCTTTCCATGATGCAAGTGGTCCAATATAATCAACCTGCCACCAGGTTGCTGGCTGATCACCCTGAGAAATGGTTCTATATCGCAGACTTAGTCTTGGTCTTTGCTGCTGGCAGATTGGGCCACTCAGCAGTGGCAGTAACCAAATCAGCCTTGGTAAGAGGGAGCCCATATTGCTGAGCCCATGTATAACCTCCATCCCTGTCACCATGGTCACTTTGTTCATGAGCCCATTGAGCAATGACAGGAGTAGCTGGGGGAAAAGGATGACTGGTTTCCACTGAACATGTCATCCTATCCACCTGATTGTTAAAAGTCCTCCTCTGCTGAGGGAGGTCACCTTTTGGTGGGCATTCCCATGAGACACAAATATCTTTACTCCTTTGGCCCAGTCAGAGATCTATCCATATACCTCTTCCCAATACATCTTTGCCACCAATTTTCCAATTGTGCTCCTTCCAAGTCCCAGACCATCCAGCCAAGCCATTAGCCACAGCCCATGAATCCATATATAATCGCACATCTGGCCATTTCTTATTCCATACAAAGTGAACAGCCATATGCATGGCTCAAAGTTCTGCCCACTGGGAGGATTTCCCTTCATTGTCCTTCAAGGAAGTCTCAGAAGGCACTGCAGTACTGCTGCTGTACACTTTTGAGTAGTGCCTGCATATTGTGCAGAACCATCTGTAAATCAGGCACAAGCTTTCTGTTCCTCAGTCAACTAATCATAAGGAACTCCCCATGAGGCCATAGGTGCAGACTGAGAGGGAAGGTAATGTGACTGGAGTGGAGACCATAGGCATTTGGACCACTTCCTCATGCAACTTACTTGTGCCTTCAGGTCCTACTGGAGCCTGATCTCTGATATTCCACTTCCAACTTTATGATTCTGTAGGTTAGACAACACCCGATTCATGATGGGAAGCTCAGGCCTCATGGTGATTTGATGGCCCATGGTTAGGTGTTCAGTCTCTATTAAAGCCCAGTAACAAGCCAAACGCTGTTTCTCAAAAGGAGAATAGTTATCTGAGAGGATGGTGGGGATTTGCTCCAAAATCCCAAGGGTCTGTGGTGCAATAGGGACTTGCTAAAGACTCCAAACAGCATCTCTATCTACCAGGGAACATTTTAAGCACCATTGGATCAGCCAGATAATATGGACCAAGTGGCAGAGCAGCCTGAACCTGTTGTAGAGCCTTCTGTTGTTCTTCACCCTACTCAAAACTAGTAGCTTTCCAAGTCACTTAATAAATAGGCTGAAACAACACACCCAAATGAGGGATATGTTGCCTCCAAAATCCAAAGAGGCCCACCAGATGTTGTGCCTCCTTTTCAGTTGTGGTAGAAGCCAGATACAATAACTTATCCTTCATTTTAGTAGGAATATCTTGACATGCCCCACACCATTGGACCCCTAGAAATTTCACTGAGGTGGAAGGTGACTGAATTTTTGTTGGGTTAATTTCCCAACCTCCAGCACATATATGTCTCATCAATAACTCTAGAGTCATCGATACTTCTTCCTTACTAGGTCCAATCAGCATAATGTCATCAATATAATGGACCAGTGTGTTGTCTTGTGGAAGGGAAAGGTGATCAAAATCCCTATGGACTAAATTATGACATAGTGCTAGGGAGTTGATATACCCCTGAGGAAGGACTGTGTAAGTATATTGTTGGCTTTGCCTGCTGAAGGCAAATTGCTTTTGATGGTCTATTGAGTCCCAAATTCTTGGATCAAAAGTCAAGCTGGAGGCTTTTCCAGACTCACGCCGCTGCAGGGACTGAGGACCTCAAGTTTGGCAGGCAGTATACTGGCTGTTGATGCCAATGAATGATGAATCCAAGATCTCCAGGCTGAATGTTGAATTGTTTGCTCACAGACAGTTGTAGGCAGCACAACAGAATCCCGATCCACAGAAGAATGTCTCTTTTCCCAGGATGTCCATAAATATACTGGAAGCAGGGCACACCTCTAGGGAAATTCCCTTTCAATGATTGGCTGCTCAAAACATATACATCTGATCCCATCATGGGAACAACCCACATTACAATTGCTTAAACCACACAGAATTGTGGTCCAGCTAAGTTGACACACAGCTCTGACTATCGCAGGTGGGTACTAATATTCCTAGTAACCCCAAATACCAATTGTGTAAGGGAGTGATAATACATATGTTTGCCTGCTTTAGGATGCAAAGTGGCTAGTGAACCACCACCAAGACTTTTAGGAGAAAAACATGGGACTGTATTACTCAATTTTAAGTTAAATCTTGACAAACAATTATTGGTTTATTATAGGGCTTGTTTATATCAAACTAGGCTTTTCTTGTGTCTTTTATATTTTACTTTATTTAGTCAGTAAATGTAGTTGAGTGTGGACTTTATGATCAGTTTGTCTTTTAAGGATTTTTTTTAAAATTTCTTATAAATGGGAAGAAAAAGATTAATCTATGTTATCCAAAATTCCTAATGACTTTATTGTAGGGAAAAGTTATTTTACAAAGAAATCTTATAAATTATTTTAAAAAGTCTTTCATGCTTAATAAAGAATACTATAAAAAGAGGTTTAATCACTCTGGTTTTACAATTTCTTTCTTTGCATATTCTCATGTATGGGTCTATATAAATAAATATTAATTAGGCTTTAGAAGACCACAGCATCCGCCATGCAAGAATTTTGGAAGCTTTAGAAACTGAAAAGCAAAAAATTGCTAAAGAACTCCAAGTTCTACAGCAGAATCGGAATAATAGGGATAAAACATTTACAAGTAAGTATATCATTATTTTAACTGGCATTTTCTAATATATGTTACTTCATATACTATAATTACTAAGTTGTTAATTAGTTGTAAATATTTAAAATGCTGTATTTTAGATGTTGCTGGATTTAAATAAATTTACATGAGTGATTGTTTTTATGATATTTCATTTTTAGAATACTTAGCTACATAAGCAAAATAGTAAGTAAAATTGCAAACATTATTTGAACATGTAACATGTTTTAAAACTGTGGTATCTTATTCTACTTCTTATTTTATATCTAGATTGTACTTAATCATTGAGTAGTATGTTTTCTTTTTCAATTTCATGTTTCTAAAGGAGCTCTGGTATGGCAGTGGTTAAAGCATTCATCTACCAACCAAAAGGTTGGTGGTTCAAACCCACCAGTCACTCTATGGGAAGAAGATGAAACATTCTGCTCCCATAAAGATTTACAGCTTTGGAAACTCTATGAGAAAGTTCTATTTTGCCCTATAGGGTCACTAAGCGTCAGAATAGACTTGATGGCAGTGGTTTGGTTTTGGATTCATGTTTCTGTATAGACTACAGCATGTTTTCAGTGTAAACGTTTTTCACTCCCTTTTAAACATAGCCATATTATTATCCCACCTGAAAATTTTTTATACTCATCAAATATCTAGTCAATATAAACATCTCCTGGATCGTTTTATAAATATATTTTTACATTTGGTTTGTTTGAATCAGGGTCCACACATGGTCCATACATGGCATTTCATAGATATGTCTCCTACGTCTCTTTTAATCTGTAAGTTGTTTCCTTCCCATCCCCTTAATTTCTACTTGTAACTTTTGTTGAAAAATCAGGTCATTTATCCTTTAGAGTTTCCCAAATTCTGTATTTTGCTGATCACGTCTCCATAATGTTGCTTAATAGGTTCCTCTGCCCCTGAGTACCTTATAAAGCAGTAGTTGCATCCACAGGCCTATCAAATTTAGCGATAATTTTTTGGGGCAAGAATGCTTGGTAATTGTGTAATATATTTTCTATAATTTTGAAAATATAAATAATATTTATATTTATTGCAAGAGGTAAGTTAAATATATCATATTAGTACATCTCTTTATTCCTTTCAGAGCCTAGAACAGTGTCTTGCAATAAATCTTTGATTTTTTTAATCCGTATAAAGGTGAGGTTTATGTTTCCAAAAAAGTGGGGTGTTTTTTTTAGTAGCATTCTGGTTATAAGTTTGACTGAACAATACAGAAAATATTTGTGATACACTCTTAAATTCAAATTAGGAAAAATGAAATTGTGGACTAAATTGTTCTCCTTTTCTATTTTTTATTTTTGGAAAAATAAATATATATATTTAATTTTCAGGGAAAATGAGAAAGGATGGTTATAAATAAGGCTATACTTATATACTTATACTTTACATGCTGTTTGAAAGAAATTAGCAATTAGGAAATAATGAAAAAAGGAATGAGAAAAATATTTTTTAAATAAATTAGAAAGAAAAGCATTGTCTTTGATATTTCCTGTCTTACAAAATCTTCATCCTCTCAATATCAACTTCAATTTTCTTCCATTTTTCATTTTAGATAAAGAGTATTTTATTTTACTGATGACAGTTGAAGAAAAGTTACTCAAATATCATTTGTTTCCTTCTGCAACATAAAATTAAAACCATTCATTTAAAATTAGTAATTTTTTCCAGCAGTTCTGTCTAGTGAAATATATTCATGTTCATATATGTATTTTGAATCTTCTCTGTATTAGTGCAGCCAAATTGGAGCTCCATGAAACTCTCAGTGATGATTCAGGAAGCCAATACCATCAGCAACAAATTAAGAAAACACTATGTTTTTGACAGGTGAGTAATTAATGATCTTAATTGGAAAGTACTTCTTTGTTTTAAACTAGTTGACGTTCATATAATTTTTTTTTGTTGTTAATTTAGTTTCATTAAACTCATGGTATTCTATAGTGCCTGTCTGAGAAAGCCCTGGTGTCAACTTCTAATGAAACTTCAGGCTCTTCCCTCAGAGCTTACTCTGGAGTGAAGGAAGCTTTCAACAGTTAACATCCTAATGTGTATTTTGTAAACAAAATGATTTTAGACATTTTAAAAATTTAGTAATTTTCTTGCTGAATTGAAAATTTGTTTCTATATTTTACTTTTGTAAAAGAATATAAATTATTAGATATTTTTTTAATTAAAAAAAATTATGTGTAATAAGGTAGTTTCATGTAGTGAGTACTAAGAATGATTATTGTTGCTGTTAGTTGCCGTCAATACTGACTTCTGGCAACCCCCATGTGCAGAGTAGAACTCCTTCATAGGGTTTTCAAGGCTGTCACTCTTTGGAAGCATATCACCAGGGCTGCCTTCAGAGGCACCTCTGTGGGTTTGAACTCCAACTGTTCAGCTACTGTCAAACTCCTAACTGTTTGTGCTACCCCAAAAAAACTCAAAAATTGGAAGGAAGATTGGGCAATCTACTTCCATACAGATACTGCTTCGGAAACTGTTTGTACCACCTAGGTACTTAAAAATGGAAAGATTAATCACTGAACTGAATTTTTATTGAAATAATTCTAATCCAGAAAACTCTTAGCATAAATGAGTATGTATTTTAAGAAGAGTGTTTTTGTTTTTTTGCTTTTTCTTTCAGGCATGATGTATCGGATAAAGGAAGTTCTGAAGCATTGGTTCAGGTTCAGGTTCGTAACCTGCAGCTAGGGATCTCAACTTTCTGGAGTCTGGAAAAGTTTGAATCTAAGCTTGCAGCAATGAAAGAACTTTATGAGGTTTGGAATTTTAATAAAATCTCTATGAAGTTTTAAAATAAAAATATAAAAGTGACATATTCTCATTAAAAAAATGTGGAAAAGAAGGCAGTCCATCACATTACCTAAGCCAATCAATATTAGTAATTATGTATATTTTCTTTACTTTAGCATGCAAATAGGGTTTTACTAATTTGTTTTAACATAGTTGTTACTATAATAGAGAAATTTAGAGCTGAATCTATTTGATTATACATTTTTTTAAAATGTACATTTAAGCTTAAGGTAAAAAATCCAGTAGACATAAAGCAGATTGCATCACTTGAAATTTCCTATGCCTAATAATAGGAGCTCTGGTAGTATAGTGCCTAAGGCACTTGACTGCTAGCCAGAAGGGTGGTTGTTCAAACCCACTAGCCACTCCTCTGAAGGAAGGTTGGACAATCTACTTCCATAGTGATACTGCCTTGGGAACCCAAGGAGGGGGTCACTGTGAAGCGGAGCCGACTCGATGGCACATAATAACAACAACAATAACATGCCTAATAATATATATTTATACATTGGATATATTTTGCATATTTTGATTTCCCTATTGCATGCATTTCTTCATTTGCTGTTTTTAATGCTTACAACTAAAAATATTTATATATGTTTTAGTTTTTTATATCTTATTTCCTCATTAATATTTTCTAAAATGGTACCCAAAAAATGAACTTTTTATTACATTTTGATACTTACTGACAAATTGCTTTCTAGAAATATTGCCCATTGGCAACCCAAGGAGGGGTCACTATGAGTCAGGGCCAACTCGTCAGCACATAACAACAACAACAACCAATGTTAAATGGGCTTGCTTTAATTTGCATTTTAATACATTTTTATTGCTAGTGAATCTAAGGATTTAACTATTTCTTTGTGGATAAAATATGTGTTCATGTCCTTTGAATCTTTTGGCAAATGAAACCTAGGTAGTAATCTGGTTTTTAAAGTTCTTTATTTTATTTTATATTATTTGTATACTTTTTTCCCCATGACTATATTGCCTTTTTTACTTGTTTCATTTTTGTCATTTTAAATTTGGTATATTTGAATCTGTCTGTTTAATCCAGCGATGCTTTTTACTGCAACACTGTCCAGTCCTCTGCATTTTCCTTTTGTTTAATGTTTGAGTCATTAGAATTTATTGTGTTTTATGAAAGATATGACTATAAAGTGAATTTTTCTCCATATTAATACCAAGTTATCCCTAAAACATTTGTCAAATAGTAAATCATTTCTCATTTCTTGTATTGCTACCATTTACCAATATGGAATTATATTTTACACTACTGAGATAATAACGAGAATGAAAATATTAGTTAAAAACTTACAGGATGCTACCAAATTATGGGAGCTCTGGTGGCATAGTGCCTAAGTCATTTGACTGCTAACCAGAAGGCTGGCAGTTCAAACCCACCAGCCACTCCTCGGAAGGAAGATGGGACAATCTACTTCCGTAGTGATACTGCCTCTGAAACCCAAGGAGGGGTCCCTATGAGTTGGGTCTGACTTAACGGCACATAACAGCAACAACACCACCACCAAATTATAGTCTAACGCTTGAATTGTTTTAATAAGAAAAAATGAAAGTGAATCAAATATTTAGCTCAATCTAGGAAAATAATAAAATGAAACAAGAGGAAGCAAATGAAGGAATTATTAAATATGGTACAAACAATAAATGACTTAGAAATTCATAAACTCAAACTCTGATATTTTGAAAAGACAAATATGATTTTAGAAATGAGAAATGGCATTTAAAGTCATGGAAAACAAATTTTAAATTATATATAAAATTGTATGTTAATAAATTTGACAGTTTTCCAAAAAGACTTTCTGAAAAGGTAAACTGTGAAGGCTGGTTTAAGAATAGATGATTAATGATGGGATAAATGGATAAATTTGTCAAGGAGCTAACTTAAAAAGAAAAAAAAAAAAAAAAGAAGGTGCTGATCCCAGTCAGGTTTATGGATAACTCTTCCAAATTTCTGAGGAACAAAAATATACCCTATTGCATTTCAACATTCCAGATCACAGCAATAACTGAAAGTGTCTTAATTGATATAATGATGTTAGAACACTCTGATTAAAAATAGAACAAACCGAAAACCCACAAGAACGAAAAAGATGACTCAGAGGTGAATTACAAACTAATGTTACTATGAACACAACTACAAAAATCCTGAATGAAATGTTAGTAAGTCAAACCCAACAATGTATTAAAAGAATAATTATACCATGACCAAGTAGTGTTTATTCCAAGAATGCGAGGTATAATCATAACAGAAAATCCAAAAATGGCTGAAAGGAAACATACTAGAGCATGGGCAGTGTTTATCTTTAGATCCTATGTTTATGAGTGGTTTAATTTTCTTCTTCTCTGTGTTGATGTGTATGAATCATTTCTAAAGTCATTTTCTGCACTGACTGTATATTGATTGGGTAGTCAGAACAATACAACACAGTATTGTAGTTATTTGACCATTCTTGCCTTGGCATATGCATGAAAATATGATTGGGTGAATTACCCTCATTTTCACCTTGCTTTCTACTTTCAGTTGTTCATTGTGATATTGTCTACCTACTTTCCATATAATTATAATATCTTCAAATTAAGCTCTGGATAGTATTTTTCTATAACTTTAATGACATTGCTTTAATATTTAGATTAAAACAAATTATTATCATCCATATAGTCAGTCAGGAAGTGATTTTATCTGAACATTTGATTTCAGGTTATTTATTTCTCCTGAGGATTTCATCGTTTTGTTTTTACTATATCCCTTAAATCTCAAGTTTATTATTTCTGAATAAGTTAATGACTTTTGTTGTTCTTACTAGCTGATCTCTTCCTTAAAATTTTGTTGTTGTTTTTGTTGAGACTCTACACAGCAAAACTTACACCAGTTTCTACATGTGTATTTAAGTGTCTACATGTACAATTCATTGACACTGATTACATTCTTCAAGTTGTGTAACCATTCTCACCCACCTTTTCTGAGTTGTACCTCTCTCATTAACATAAATTCACTGCCCCCTAAGGTTCCTATCTAGTCTTTTGAGTTGCTGTTGTCCATTTGATCCCATGTAGGTAGTCCTTAAAAAAGCATGATGCAGGAAACTATTTTTTACTATTGTTTTGTTTTAAGAAGACTTTAGGGGATATTTTTGGTTTAAAGTTTAAAGATTATCTCAGGGCAATAGTTTCAGGGGTTCATCCAACCTTCATGGGTCTAGGGTATCTGAAGTCCAGGAGAATTTTGAATTCTGTTATGCACATTCCCCGTTTTGATCAGGATTCTTCTGTGGGATCTTTGATCAAAATAATCAGTACTGGTAGCCAGGCACCGTCCAGTTTTTCTGGTTTCATGGCAAAGGGGGCAGTTGTTCATTGAGGCAATTAGCCACCCATTTCATATCCTCCTTCTATTCCTGACTCTTTTCTCTCTTGCTCCAGATGAATAGAGACCAACTGTTGAACCTTGGACTGTTGTTGTTGTTATGTGCTGTCGAGTCGGACCCGACCCATAGCGACCCCTCCTTGGGTTTCCGAGGCAGTATCACTACGGAAGTAGATTGCTCAGTCTTCTTTCTGAGGAGTGGCTGATGGGTTTGAACTGCCAGCCTTCTGGTTAGCAGTCAAGTGCCTTAGGCACTACGCTACCAGAGCTCCTGTACCTTGGACTAGCAGATCTCTTTTAATATCATAAATTTTAGCATAATGTGTTTGATTTTTTTATTTATCAGTAATGTAATTGATTCTTATTTTCTCAAATAACCTATAATTTTATGTTTTAAACATCACCAAGAGTTAAACATTTTCCTCCCTTAGTTGCTAAACATTTTTAATACATAATTATTTTGTTTTTCTTAGAGTAATGGTAATAACAGGGGTGAAGATGCCTTTTGTGATCCTGAAGATGAATGGGAACCTGACATTACAAATGCACCAGTTTCTTCACTTTCTAAAAGGAGGTAAAGATGTTTTTGTTATTGGTTTTCATATTCTGAGTATACATATATATATCATTTTCTTATTTTACAAGAACTGTCTATTGTCATGATGGATATGTCTGTGAAGGGAACTCAGAAGTGTCAGAGAAGTAGTACGTTACTGATCAGATTATAGCATTTAAGGCATTAAATTGTTTATCAGTCAAAGGAGGAACAAAAATGTTCAATATTTCATCATATAAGTCTTCCAAGCAACTTATAATAGCATAAATCTAATTTCCTATTAAAATGAACAGTATTTATTATTTTAAAATGACCCTTTCTCAAGAACTTGGCATATTCTATGATACTTTATCCTAAGTTATAGAATTTTAAATACAGCCAGTGTTAGATGAGTACCACAAAAGAATAAATCATGGTGATAGAGAACTTCTAAATATGACAAACTGTGCTTATTAACTAAAAACATAAAAGACTTCCACAGTGAATAGATACTTTTCAAGAAAAAACTAGTTTGGCTTAGACCTGAGACAGATTATAGAGAGGCAAAATGGTATAATGAAAAGACTTTGGTCTTTGGAACCAATTTAGCCCTTTGGTTTGATTTTTAAATAAATACTTGTTTGATGACTACTCTCTGCCATATCCTGACGATACAGAGCTAAATAAAAAATACCCCCAGTCCTTAAAGGACCAAGAAGTAAGAAAACTAGAGGCAAGAGCAGTTAATGCAGACCTGAACTAAGGCCAGGCAGAAGAACTGGAGAGAAGAGTCAAGTTGCATATACATTTAAAAGGCAGAATCAGTGGGACTTGATTGGTTGTGGGGTTTAGGGAGAAGAAGGGCTCAAGGATGACTCGTGGTTTTAACCTGGGTGACTGACTAGAGGAAAACAGTGTTCCTTGAGATGGAGACTCAGGACATCCAGGTCTAGAACTTTGAAGGGCGACTGGGAATTTTCAGGGTGTAAGTGTCAATGGCATAAGTATTTCAACAGAAGCATCATTGTCAAGTGTTTGCTGAGCATTATCTCATTTAGTCCTTATCATACACCCAGGAAGTAGCTACTGTCATTGCCCCGGTTTATATATGAAGATACAGAGTACTTAAAGAGATTAAGTAACTTGTCAAAAGTCACAGAGCTGATATGAGTAAGATTGTATTCAAATGCAGGCTTGCGTGACTCCACATCTCCTGTTTTTCTTAATTACCCTGTCATATTGCCTCTCTTTTTGCATATGAAAGAATAACATCTTTCTGTTTAAATTATCATTTTTCATCATCACCACCTTCAGTTGTAACTTTAGAAACCATTTGGATTTTCAAACTTTTTGGATCTCTCATTGTTCTTGACTCATTTATAAAATCTCAAAGAGATGGAGGCACTTCATAGCAACCTTTTTCCCTGTTACAGCTGCTTTATCGACTCATGGTTCCCCTCACTGGGTTTCTGAGGCTGTAACTCTTTACAGAGGTGATCGCCCCATCTTCCTTCCGGGGATCCAGCTGGTGGGTTTGAACTGTTGACGTTCTTGGCTAGCAGCCAAATGCCTTATCCACCACCAGGGTTCCTTAACTGCTAAGCTACAGGAAGAAATTACAGCAAAGCTTAACAAACATTATCTAAAAAGAAATGTAAAGCATGTCCTTTAAACAGACCCTAAAGTCCTTGAGTACAGGGAATTTATTTGTATCCCTACTGTAGTATAGTGAAGAAGGCTCCCATATCAGAGTCCTGGGTTCTCATCTATGTGTGATATGGTCATGGACAGTCACATTTATATCTCTAGGCTTCAATTCTTTCATCTCTAAAATGGACACCATAATCTGTACCTACTCTGCAGCATTTATCTAGGAATCCTAAAACAGTAGTTGTAGTAGAAATAGCAGGAGCAGCAGCTGCTTTATATACATGATATATATACATTAGAGAGAGAGATACATGATACAGATACATGAATATACATACAGAGAAAGAGAGAGAGAGATTTATTTTAAAGAATTGACTTATGCAGTTGTGAGGCCTGGCAAGTCCAAATTCATACATCAGACAACAGGCTGGAGACTCCTGCAGGCTTGTGTCCCAAGAGCTATAGGTCAGGTGATGAAAATAGTGCAGAGTAAAGATCAAGAGAGAGAGTTCTGCCAAACTACAAGCTGGAGGCAGAAAGCACCCTAAGGAAATAATCTTTTCAACTAACTTATTGATTAGATTATATTATTGAACAGCGCTAGACTGCTAGGAGCCATAGCCTAGCCAGTTAACACATAAAATTAATCGTCAAAACGACTATTATTTGTAACACAGGACTGATGAAGATGGTGTTACAGAATTGTTATGAAGACTAGAGATGAAGCTCCTGGTACAGTGGGTGGGTGTTCGAGAAATGGCAGCTCTTATTATTTGGTGCTTAATAGATACTGAATAAAGTTTAAATCTTGGAATACAAAGAAGATATCATTTCTGGTCTAATGCCAATAAACACTTGGTGATATCTTTAGGTGATTTGTCTCGAGAACTTCAAAACAGAGTTAGTCTCAGGCCCTAAAATGAGCTAAAGATGGTCTTGGGTGGAAATGAGTAGATGGGGTTTGGGATACTTATACCAACATAAGCCTCTCACAAATGAAACCACACCTGTAAATTCATCAAATTCCTCTAGATTTTAGAATTATTGATTTCTTTTTATTTTTATTACAGTAGATATAAACTTTGTGTATTTAGAATAGGGGATCACAACATGAGCATTAGTAAATGATGAGCATTAAAATTCTAGTCCGTTGTGTGTTGGTGATTCCCATCTTTATCTTCCCCAACAGGTAATTAGCAGAAGTTTAAAATGTTACTGAAAAAACATCAGCTTCTTTTAATATTTTCTAAGATGCTAAAATTGCATATTTTCATTTAGCAGAGATATTTTGAGAACTTCTATAAATTAAAAATACCACATTTGAAAAAAAAAATAATAGTGAATTGCTCTTGGGCTAAGACCTTGTGTGTGAAGTTTCAGCCTTGTAAGAATGTTTATGACAGAATTGCAAACTCTGAGAATGTCAGCATGTAATGGAAACACTGACAGACTCTTAATTTTAGAACCGCTACTAGGCAATGATATGCCGTAGTTGTTCTGCAATAAAGTAGACTGGTTTGGCTGCCTATAAATTTTGGTATGTAATGTTGACAGTTAAAAGTAAATTTTTACCTGAGTTTGAGTAAAAACTCTTTGAAAGGTATGTGATAACATTTTCTTTATTTGAGTTTAAACACTGTTTGACTATGATAGTGCTGAGAGGATAACAGTTTTCTTAGAGTTAACTGTAATAAGGTACCCTTCCTTTCATCACTAAATAGAAAAACTGTAACCTCTGAGAATTGACATTTCCTTTCCTTTTTATCAGTCATATTTCCCCATGAACAGGAAAGTTCAAGGGGAAAATTTATGTTTGAAACATCTAGGCTGCTACTGATAGGACACTTTTGTTTAACAATGTTTTCAACAAATATTTTTCTCTGAGTGACCAACAGCAGTAGCGAAGTCTGTTAGGAAAAAGACTTCAAAGGATATCCACTAGATTTGAATCTAGGTTATTGCTTTCAGTAGTTTCATTGACATAATTTTGGCTGGACTTGGAGTTTAGAAAATTAATAGATGCGTGGCAGTATGGGAGTAGGCTGCTTGAAAAAACATAACAGAAAAAGTAGTCTGTTTTTTAAAGAAGCAGAAAGAGTAGTTGCTAGACAGCCAATCACACTCAGAGGAAGGATTTGAGTGCTTTTATAGGCTAAGGGAAAAGAGGAAGCAAAAAGATTGAAGAGAGAATAATTTCCTCCATTTGTGTTACCTCTGCATTTCACAGTTATTATGCTTTTTACACTGTGTAGCAAATATTTACTTAGATGTTTATTTCCCTTTATCACTCTCTTGTTTAAAATCTTTCCCAGGATAATTTGCTCAGGAGAAAATGCAAGCTTCCTAAGTGCCATACAAAGTCAGCCTCAAGTTGGCCCCTGCGCACCTCCCAGCCTCATCCTTTTCCACTCTCTCTCATAGCCTAGACTGCCTTCTGAACCTCATCTGATTCTTTGCTTATGCAGTACTTTCTTAATCAGTATTCCCTCATCTGGATATTTGTGTCTGAAACACTCTTACCTGCTTCCCAAGCCTGCCTCCCCATTTGGCTGACTCCCACTTATCCTTCACAGGCACTGCTTCTGCCTTGTTGGGCCAGGTTAAGTTCTTCCATGTCTCCCATAGCACTCTATGTTCTCCTAGCACTCACCATTTTTGTAATTATTTGCCTCATGTCTCTCATTTCCTCTGGACAATAAGCCCAGAGAGCCCAATATTTACTCTATTTAAATGAATTAACAATACGCTTAGAATAGTGTCTGTAAATATTAAAATTCATCCTCTGTGAGCAAAATGAATTTAACTAACCCTTGATGAAAATGTTTGCAGGAAAAACACACACATGCATGCCCATTTTCTTTAGAGAATTTTTAAACAAATAGTCTTAATAGTTTAATTCCATATGGTACATAGCTACCAATCTTACAGTTTCTCTCTTTCTAGGAGCAGGAGTTTGATGAAGAACAGAAGAATTTCTGGTTGTTTACATGACATACAAGTCCACCCAATTCAGAATTTGCATTCTTCACACTCTTCAGGTATTTTTTCATCAAATTTGTTTGCATAGTGAGAAAAGTTCTAGTTCTGGCCCTACCACTGCCTTGTTCCGTGACCATATAAATAATTTCCTCTCTCAGAAGTTTCAGTTTCCTCTATAAAATGAGGAGGATGAATGGGATGGCCCCTTCCACTCCTAAAATTCTGTGCTATGTGATTTATTTCAAAGCCTTTTAGTAGAATGGCTAAGTTAAACATGGAAGGCTTGTACATGTTCAGAAATATATAACAATACTGTTTTCTTACGATAAGTGAAAAAAAACAAAGTGCAGAAGATCATGATGTACTACTGTTGTGTGGGGAGGAGAAAAAAGATGTATACATATAAGTTTGGGAATAAATAAGATATCTCTTGAGGACTACACCACAATCTGAAAACAGTAGTTGGCCGTTGTAGTGCGGGAGAGGGGAACAGGATAGAAAGGAAAGCCTCCTTTTCATGGTATACCCTTTGATTCTTCATGGTATACCCTTTGGTTCTTCATGGTATACCCTTTGGTTCCTTTTGAATTTTATATAATATGTGTATGGCATCTATTCCAACATTAATTGGAAAAAAAGATTTAAAGTAAAAGTTATGGGAATTATTCCTCTGAATAATGATTTTGTATCAATTTGATTATAATGTTAATTTGCCTTTAGAATGGGAGATACAATATAAAACTGTGTAACTACTTGTAGTAGTTAAAATTATTGTGTAGTAACAATGTACTACTATGTGGCAATGAAAAAGAATGAACTTCTGATTCATACAATAGCCTAGATGAATTCCAAAACATTATGTTGTGTGAAAGAAGCCAGGTAGAAAAGAGTACATATTGTATGATTCCATTTATATGAAGTTCAAGAACAGGCAAAATAATCTATGGTGACAGAAGCCAGGATTTTTTAGAGTAGAGTAGTGTTTACCTCTGTTAGGTGTTATTAACTGGGAAGGATCAAGAAGGAACCTGTTGGGATGGGATGATGGAAATGTTTGTACTTTGGAAATGTTTAGTGTACCCCACTTTGATCTCAGTGGGGTACACTAAAGTGTACATAGCAAGCTGTACACTTAAGATTAATTTGTACACTTTATTGCATATAAATTATACATCAGCAAGCCAAAGTTTTTTAAATTACTGTGTAACATAATCTATATAAGAAATGTACTAATGAGTATGAGTAGCAAAAAAATAAATATATCTCAATTTGACTTTAAATTAAAGAAATGAGGGTTTCTTTTTGTTTAATCATAAAATTATCTTTTAAGAAAAACAGTTTTTATCTGTACTATTTATTTAATCTAGGGTATCTCAAAATATACTGTATTGTGGTTGTCATTGTTAGGTGCCATTGAGTCAGTTCCAACTCATAGTTACCCTATGTACAGAAGAGTGAAACGCTGTCTGGTCCTGTGCTATATTCACAATCATTGCTATTTTGGGACCCATTGTTGCAGCCACTGTTGTGTGTCTTCTCATTGAGGGTCATCTTTTTGCTGACTATCTGCTTTGTTGAGCATGATGTCCTTCTCTAGGGACTGGTCCCTCCTGATAACATGTCCAAAGTACATAAGATGAGGTCTTACCATCCTCTCTTCTAAGGAGCATTCTGGCTATACATCTTCCAACACAGATTTGTTTGTTCTTCTGTCATTCTTTGGTATATTGAATATTCTTCACCAACACCATGATTCAAATGCATCATTTCTTCTGCAGTCTTCCGTATTCTTTGTCTAACTTTCACACACATGAATTGACTAAAAATACCATGGCTTGAATTGAGTACATGTTAGTCTTCAAAGTAACATCTTTGCTTTTTAACACTTTGAAAAGATCATCTGCAGCAGATTTACCAAAGCCCTACCTCATTTAATTTCTAGCCTGCTGCATCCATGGGCATTGATTGTGGATCCAAGTAAAATGAAATCCTTGGCAACTTCAATATTTTCTCCATTTATCATGATGTTGCTTATTGGTCCAGTTGTGAGGATTTTTTTTTCTTTATGTTGAGTTGTAATCCATGTTGAGGGCTGTACTCTGTGTTGTTCATCAACAAGTGCTTCAAGTCTTCTTCACTTTCACCAACCATGGTTATGGCATCTGCATATCACAGATTGACACTGAGTTTTCCTTCAATCCTGATGCTGTGCTCTTCATGTAGTCCAGCTTCTCAGAATATTTCCTCAGCATACAGATGGAATAAGTATGGTGAAAGGATACAGCCCTAAAACACACCTTTCCTGATTTGAAACCACACACTATCCTCTTGTGCTGTTTGAACAAATGCCTCTTGGTCTATGTATATGTTCTGCATGAGCACAATTAAGTATTCTGGAATTCCTATTCTTCACTGTGTTTTCCATAATTTATTATGCTCTACACAGTCAAATGCCTTTGAATGATTTTGCAGCTAAACATCTTTCTGGCATTCTTTGCTTTAAGCTAAGATCCATCTGACATCCCTCATTCTGAAACTGTCCTCTTCTGAAACTGTCTTGAATTTCTGGCCATTCCCTGTTGATGGACAGTGGCAACTGTTTATGAATTATCTTCAGAAAATTTTATTTGTGTATGATATTAATGATACTATTTTAATAATTTTTGCATTCTGTTGGATCACCTTTCTTTGGAATTGGCATGAATATGGACCTTTTCCAGTCAGTTGGCCAGGTAACTGTCTTCCAAATTTCTTGGCATAGATGAATGATCACCTCCAGGGCTGCATCCATTTTCTGAAACATTTCGGTTGGTATTCCGTCAATTCCTGTTGTTGTTGTTGTGTGCTGTTGAGTAGGACCTGACTCAAAGTGACCCCTCCTTGGGTTTCTGAGGCAATGTCACTATGGAAGTAGATTGCCTCATCTGTTTTCCGAGGAGTTGCTGGTGGGTTTGAACCGCCAGCTTCTGGTTAGCAGGCAAATGCCTTAGGCACTATGCTACCAGAGCTCCCTGTCAATTCCTAGAACCTTGTTTTTTGACCAGTGCCTTCAGTGCAGTTTGGACTTCTTCCTTCAGTGCCATCAGCTCTTGATTATATGCTACCTTCTGAAATTATTGAACATTGTCCAGTTCTTTTTTGGTACTGTGACTCCGTGTATTGCTTCTATCTTTTTTTTTTTTTTTGGATGCTTCCTACATTGCTCAGTGTTTTGCCCATAGAATCCTTCTATATTGCAACTCGAGGTTTGATTTCTTTCGTCAGGTCTTTCAGCTTGAGAAATGCCCAGTGTGTTCTTCCCTTATGGTTTTCTAACTCTAGGTCTTTGCATATGTCATTATAATACTTGAGCCACCCTTTGAAATCTTCTGTTCAGCTCTTCTACATCATTATTTCTTCCATTCACTTGAGCTACTCTATGTTCAAGATCAAGTTTCAGAGTCTCTTCTGACATCCATTTTGGTCTTTACTTTCTTTCCTGTCCTTTTATTGACCTTTTACTTTATTTGTGTATGACATCCTTGATGTCCTCTCACAACTTGTCTGGTGTTTGGTCATTAGTGTTCAGTGCGTCACATCTGTTCTTGAGTTGGTCTCCAAATTCAGATGTGATATACTCAAGGTTGTATTTTGATTTTTGAGACTTGTTTTAATTTTCTTCAGCTTCAGTTTGAACATTCATATGAGTAATTGATGGTCTGTTCCACAGTTGGCCCCTCACTTTGTTCTGATCCTTGGTATTAAACTTCTCTATTATCTCTTTCCACAGATGTAGTCGATTTGGTTCTTGTATATTCCATCTGGTGAGGTCCACATGTATAGTCACCTTATGTAGTTGAAAAAAGTTATACACAATGAATAAGCTGTTGATCTTGCAAAAATTCTATCATGTGATCTTCAGGATTGTTTCTATCACAAAGGCCTTATTTTCCAACTATCGAACCTTCATCTTTGCATGCAACTTTCTCATTCCAATCACCGTTCCAGTGAACAGTTTTTGATGCATCTTGATTACATATTTGATCAATTTAGATGGCAGAAGTTGGTAAAAATCTTCAGATACTTCATCTTTGGCATTAGTGGTTGGTGTGTAAATTTGAATAATAGTCACATTTACTGGTCTTCCTTGTGGGCATGTGGATATTATCTTATCACTGACAATGTTATACTTCAGGGTAGATCTTGAAATATATGTATTTTTTATGATGAATGGAACACCATTCCTTTCTAATTTGTCATTCCCACCATAGTAGACCATGTCATTGTCTGTTTCACAATGGCCAGTAACAGTCCATTTCAGCTCACTAATGCTCAAGATATCAACCTTTATGCATTCCATTTCCTTTTTGACAATGCAGTTTGCCTAGATTATACTTCATACATTCCGTTCTGATTATTAATGGTATTTATAGCTGTTTCTTCTCATTTTGAGTCATGCCACATCAGCCAATGACGTTCCCAGAAGCTTTACTCCAGCTGTGTCATTGAAACTGACTCAGTTTTGAGCAGGCAGCTCTTCTTCAGTCATATTTTATAATTCTTCTAATCTGTGGGATTCATCTTCTGGTGCTTTATCAGACAGTGTTCTGCAACTATTCATAAGGTTTTTGCTGTCCAGGTTTTTTCAGAAGTAGATCAAGAGGTTATTCTTCCTAGTCTGTCTTAATCTGAAAGTTCTGCTGAAATCTGTCCACCATGTATGATGTCTCTGGTATTTGAAATACCAGTGGCATAGCTTCCAGTATCACAGTAACATGCAAGCCACCTCAGTACAGTGAGTGATAGAAATATGCTATAGTTTTTTTTTGTTGTTGTTGTTGTTTTTTAATAGCAAGAGAAAAGGAGATATATCTGTGGTAATGATGCAATTATTTAGCATTATTCGAGAGTAAGATTTTTGCAAAAGCACTTTTCCAAATAACTGACACTATCTCTTCAAGGGCTATTTTAAGAAATTAAGTTAATTTATTAAGGGAAGTCAGAGGTACGAGAAGTCTTTAATTTTTTGCTGTCTTCGAAAAGAGAATTGGAAACATGTTCATTTAGTATAAGCCTGTCTGGCAACTGCCTATGAGGTGCTAGAGGAGGATGTGCTTTCTGGTGTGCAGGCCTGCATCTAGCACTTTCCAGCTTTGGGAAATTGAGCAAGTATCTTAACTTCTCACTTTAAGGATCATGTTTTTAAGTAGATTTTTACAAGTTTTCTACAATGTTAATGCTGGATTTTAGAATGCATCAATATAACTCATTATCTTCTTAAAACAGAGACTATATAGTTAACTTTTCTTGATGACTAGAATATAAACTAAAAAGAAAACCAAACTCACTGCCATCGAGTCAATTCCAAGTCATAGTGACCCCCATTGGGTTTCCAAGGCTTTAAAATCTTTATGGAAACAGACTGCCTCATCTTCTGCAGAGTAGCTGGTGGGTTCGAACTACCAACCTTTTAGTTAGTGCCTTAACTACTACACCACCAGCTCTCCTTGCGTATAATATAGTCATCGTCATAATAATGATATTGATTCATTATTACCCTATAGCAGTATAGCTTTGGAATTTGTAGCTTTACTTTGTTTCTTTTCCCAGATTAAGTTATCTTTGTTGTAGCTTCTTAATATTCCCATCCTTTACCTTTATCTTACCTTCACTTTGTTTGCTGCTTCTAATTGGCTACGGACTGGACCAGAAAGCTAGTCTTATATATTAAACGAGAATGGTTATACTCATGGTTAGAACTTCAGAATAAAGTTATTTCCAGAGGCTCTGAATGAGTTCTTTTAAGCTTTTCCAGTGCTTAGGAAGTTATATTTTTTGAAAGTCCATCTCCCAAAGATATGATATATTAACTATAGATATTCAATTGGGTTTTCCCTATTTTGATGTTAGTATACATAGAGAAGGAACTATTATGGAGGTACTGGAACATTGCTTTTAATATAGTTTACTGTATTGCCTACTTTTCCAGGTTTATTTTATTTGACTGCCATTTTTTTTCACCAATTCACAATTTATTAGGTGTTAGGGAAGATTAATTTCTACCTAAAAAATTAAATAAAGGAGATTAAACTGATGATTATGTGGGGCTTTTGGCTTCTCTTTTATCTGTATTGCTGGTGAGGATCCACTAACCCTGTGGATTGATGCTGCTGAGAAGTTAATTGATCCCTGAATGAAATTGTGTTTTCACCGTGGAATAATAAAAGTGTATTGAAATCAGAATGACCTATTTTGAGTTTATTGACTAATGATTCTGTAATATGCTTGCCTTAATGCATTGCTTGAAAGAGAGTATTGTGCCTGAAAACTGGGTTTAAGATAGCTGTTTTCTGTTGACATAGGCTTAATGGAGAAATCAAGTACCATTTATTCAAATTCTACAGAATCATTTCTTCCTGGAATTTGCAAAGAATTGATTGGTTCATCATTAGGTTTTCTTGGACAGAGTTATGATGAAGAAAAAACTATGGCAGACAGCCTCACTTATAACTTTCTTAAAATTTATAATGGCATATTTGCCATTTTCAAGGCTCATGAAGAACAAGATGAAGAAAGTCATGATAACTGTGAGTAGCCTCATTTTTTTTTTTTTTAATTGTAATTGGGTGAAAGTTTACAGAGCAAATTCACTTTCCACACAGCAGCTCACATACACTTTGTCTCATGACATTGACTGCAATTTCCCACAATGCAACAGTTCCCGTCCCACTTCCTTCCCTTAGTTACCTCTTCCCTGTGTCCTTCCCTCCATGTACTCCTGCCCCTTGAGCTGTCTTCCTGTACATACACAGCCCTTCTATTCCCCCATGATTGATCTCTCCAAGGAGTGTATCCACCTAATGTAAAATTTTAGCTCACATGCCTGTCTTTTGTTTGGCTGGAAGGCACAGGAGTGGGTTCAGTTTCAGACATGAAGGGCAGTCAGGGGCCATAGTTTCAGGGGTTCCACCAGGCTCTGTCAGACTAGCAAACCTGGTTCCTTCTTTTTTGGAATGATTTTGAGTTTGTTCCACATTGTTCTCCCACTCTATCCAGGATCTCCTACATAGATCCCCCTTGAGTAGCCTCACTGCCTTTATTAACTCACATGAATGATTATTTTCTGTACATTATTCTTTGTTTGGGAGCTCTGGTGGCATAGTACCTAAGGCATTTGGCTGCTAACCTGAAGGCTGGCGGTTCAAACCCACCAGCTACTTCCCAGAAGAAAGGTTGGGAAATCTACTTCTGTAGTAACTCTACCTTGAAAACCCAAGGAGGGGTCGCTATGAGTCAGATCCAACTCGACAACAGTATGTATTCTTTGTTTGAATGACTGTCTGTCACATCTGGCATGAATGGTTTGGACTATATTAAAATATTTTATTGGTGTTCATATATAAGTTCTTTTATTTGAGATTATTTCTTCCAATAATTTTCCTTTCTTTCAAAGTGTACTCTTCTGATAGAGCAACCCAGTCCTATACTATCCAGATAGCATGTGCTTTTGGGCAACTTGTGGTGCTAACTCAACACTGGCTGAATGATTTTTCACCTTGTATAAGCACAGCAAGGCTTGAAGATGAATTGAGACAAGAAGTTAAGAAGCTGGGAGGCTATTTACAGTTATTTTTACAGGTAACTTGATTTGCTAGAATCATTTGACCAGTTTATTTGTTCAGTTAGTATTTATTGACTTCCTACTGTCCGTATCTTCCCCATATCATCTATATCACATATATAGGATTTTCAGAAGTCCCTTCTGTTTTAAAATCCTGAAATTGTAGGTATCTATAACTGATTTATTGAACCAGGACTTACATGGCTTTCTATGTACAGACACTCAAGGTTCTAAGTGATTTACAAAGTTTAACTCATTTGATCCTCATAATAACCCTAGATGTGGGTACTGTTATCATCATCATTTTATAGATGTGAAAACAGAGACAAAGAGTGGATAAGTAGCCTGTCCAAGGTTACATAACTAGTAAGTAGTAGAGTTGACATTTGAACCCAAGCAGTCATGGGCCCAGAGTCATGATCTTTACCGTTATACTGTGCTGGCCCTCAACTAGAGTATTGGGAAGAGAGATAAAGCCTTGTTCTGATGTGGATTTTAGCTTATGCTGGATTAGTCACAAGCTAATACAGAGGCAAAGCTGACATGAAGATGAATAAAGTACTTTCATTTTCCTCATTTGTATCAGATAAAATTAGGCTGTGAGTAAGAAGTGAGATAAAAGCTTACCTTTCTCTCACGTAAATCTGAAAGCAGGCATGGTGGCTCTGCTGCACAAAGTCCTCAGCACCCAGGTTCCTTCTAGTTCTCCCCTCTGCGTGGCTAATGCCTGGCTGCCTGGCACCTGCCTTCATGTCTACCATGGTGGTTGAGCTCTCTCTGAGTTCAACCCAGCAGCAAAAGGGATGTGATAAAGAAGGAAAAGGGCTGGGTGCCCTCCTCTAAGCAAGATTCTGGAAATCTCCATATGACACTTCTATTTATATATCATTGGCTAGAACTGTACTGCATGACCATGTCTAGCTGCAAATATTTTTGGGATATGTAGGTTTTTTTTTTTCTAGGCAGCTATGTACCAAACTAAAAAAATCACGGGTTCTATTACTATGGCAGAAGGAGGGGAATGGATATTGGAGAATACCTGATAGTCTATTATTGTAATAGAGTTTTTGTGGTACCAAATACTTCCTGAAATAAGTGGGCTATGTACTAACTGGGATTTGGAAATCTTTATTTGATTGACTGATAAAACTACTCAAATTGAAATCAGATGTTGATTTTCAATGACCTCATCCCCTGGGACATCCTTCTGGGTCTTCCTAAGACTTGGTTAGGCACCTCTCTTACTTCGTTTTATAACTACCCTATACTTCACTCATTATGCCTTTTAATACAGCATATTATATATGAGCCTGTATTCCTGGACGGTAAGCTCTGGAGCTGTGCCTTTTTTCACAAGGACTCATTATATGATAGATGTTTGGTTGGGTACTTGTTACTGAATTAATTATAAATTCACATCAGATGAAGGATCAATTTGGATTCAAGTGATGAAGAAATAGAATGACTATAAAATATAGTCAAACAGGGAGACAAAC